CTCCGCCGATTCGCAATGTGGAATGCGGAATGTGGAATGTGAAGCAATGCCCTACGCCGCAGACAGTGCAAAGGAGCACTATATACACACGCATCAGTGTTCAATAAGGAGATGGCATGGCATAGTCGACACTTGCAGCGCGCTAATAAAATACGAAGTAACAACTATGACAGTTAAGAAAAGGAAAGAATACATCCACCTGTGTAGCACGAAGCTACAAGCACGAAGCCGCGAACCACGAAGCCACGTCGCGGGTTTCTCTGAACTCATTTGCAACTGCGACAGCTGTTCGTTCGCGTTCGTATTATATATATATATATATACTATATCCTGTGCGTTCTTTCCGAGCGTCCTTTGGGTTTGAGCAGCGTGGTGCAAATGTCGAGCTGTGCCAGTTGTTAGTTCGCGCTCGTACTGTGTCTATTCTTTCGTGCGTCCTTTGAACTTGCACTACGTTAATTAGGTATCGAGGTGCTGCCTGTTCGTCGTGTGGCATTATAATTTGTTGCTGTCGCATTCATTGCTTCGCCTTTGTGGTGAAAGTGTGACTCTTTTCTTTAAATTACGGCGCGGTGAGTGATCCCTCTGCATCGCCTGCCGCGTGGTGGCATCGGCCCTATAACACGAGTGCAAGGATGCAGTTAACTTTCATTCGACAAATCGTGACCGCCATACGCATCGGGGACATTGTACTGACCACCGCCACCCTGAATACATTAAAGGCTTTTAGCTTGTTCGGTATATATGCCGGTATACGCAAACACGTGTCCTGAATACCGGGTTACCGAACGATGGTATCAACATCTTGTGACGTTTCATGTAGCGAAGTTACAGACACGTTTTGTTTTGCCAATTGTCGTTGGGAAAAAAAATGGCAGCATATCCACGGAGTTTAATGATGGAGAGTTGGGCGAAGCATCCGTCCGTGCATTCGTTCTTGCTTCCGCCCATCCATGCGTGCGTCTGTGTGGCCGCCCGTGCGTCCATACGCCCGTCCGTGCGTGCGTCTGTTCGTGCGTCCGCACGTTCATCTGTGCGTCCGTCCCTGCTTTCGTCCATGCATTTGCTCCTGCGTCCGTCCATGCGTCCATCCGTCCGTGTAGCCATCCGTGCGTCCATCCATGCATCTGTCTGTGTGTCCGTTCGTCCACCTATTCAACACCCCAAGTATCACCATCTCGCATCTTTTCATCATACATTCCTCATATAGAAGCACCGCTATCCAGCTGACATTCCAAGGACTGAACGAGAGGAGGCACATGCACACTTTCTTGCGGCTTGCGCTTCGTGTCTACTTCCCACCTTTAACTACCTCGAGTTCATGGTATATACTAGTTCACTGTATTCATGGCACTGCGGCCCAACGCTCGCTAAACCTCTCTAAAACCCAGGAGGTTACGCCCAGTGAGTATAACGTAGCGACCCTTTCTTGTCAGATAGTGCTCAATGTACATGTCAATGCCTGCTAATTGGAAATGAGAGACCGGAGAATTTGGCTATTAGTTAGCGAGCACGCTGCGAATGTTTTATTGTTCAACAACGCACAGAAGAAATCTCCCACCGGCACCACCTTGCAGGTCAAAGCGTAAGACTGGTTACGCACTACTACTACGACTATGAGGAACGAACGGGTGCCACTATAAGGAGCTTCACCCCTAAAAGCAAGAGCTTTAAAAATGTAACTATTTTGGCATTAGGCTGCTGCCGACAAATGGTACTAGCATTTAAGTGATATGCACGAGGTTTCTCCAGTAACAATTTCGTGATTACCTGATTCGACTCTACCTCGCCAGATGGCACCACCTGTGCGGCCTCTCATGTTAACGGCTGCAGCATCCGGTACACCATTAACGCCAATAAGGTCGCGAACAAACTGAGCCTTTCTACTAATCTGTATGTATTCTCGATTCGGGATTCTCTGCAATTACGTCTTCAAAGTAGTATGTTTACAACGAGTACACATTAGCGAGGCTTCAATGTAAATATAAGAATGCGTATAGTGCTCGTAATCTGTTACTTTCTTGAATTTTTGAATGTATACAAATATTCTCCTCTCAAGGTCTATATTTGGCCATGATCCCATAATCGGGATAATTTGAATATTCATTTTCCGGATAATATGTGCATCTAATATAAACTATTCAACTGATATTCTAGATTTAGAATAATTGCTCATCTCTCGAAATGGTGTCAATAAAGCGTTCACCTTAAGAAAACAAGAAAACAAGGTTTACGTGCCTGTAATAGTGATGTCACGACTAGAAGTTTATCACGTTTTATTATGGTTTCTTTTCGTTTGCGTTATTCAGAAACTTCATGTTTTATTTGTAACTTAATCCTTATCAGTCTCTATAGCTTTGGAAATGTTGTCAAACGAGCGGCAACGCGAAACATGCACTTCCCGCTGCCAACACCATGTGTACCGCAAGCGTGGTCACAGCGAGTGCTCGCGGTACATCGAGCGAGATGCAATTACGCCGAAGCACACGACACACGCTGCTTGTTAATTTAATTAGCGAGTGAATAATTACTGCAGCATGGGCTTCTGATAAAGCTACCAACCCTGCTTTTTGCAGCTATTTATTATTTCGCTATCTCTTCACGCTTTTCCCTGTGGGTTAGAACGGCATTTCTGAAGAAAAAGTCGCGCAGATCCTATTCCCACTCACAATTTAGAACGTGGCGCGATGAATAATACCGACAGAAGGAAACTACCGTTATCATCCTCTTAATACCGGCACCAGCTAGATTTGGCTTCTATTGCTTCGAAATGGTTAATTTATAGCCAGTGCTAGTTATAGATATTAGGGGTGAAGCTCCTCAGGGTGTGGGTGGTTCCCTCCTCTGTAATAGTATGTTATAAGAAGCCACTCCTAGTTAGCTTTAAAAAGTGCTCACTAGATGGCGTTGTGTGTGTATGTCAGTGGCCTTCGGTTGGACTGTCACGGTGGATGGACGTGTTTTTTGAGCGATCCCGATCGACTGCGCAGATAAGTGTTTTTGCATGTTTTGAGCTTGTCTTTATAGTTATAGGGCAGCAGTTGAAATCTTCGTAGCACTTATTTTATGATACGGCTTTTTCGGGGGCCAGTCGCCAGGTGTTTATTAGTTAGTGCGTGTGTGTGTGTTTGAATTTTTTGTTGTTTTTTTCTTTTGCCACCCCGTGGGGGTGGTGCGCGTACATTGAACACGCAAATTTTTGTAGTAGAGCTTAGACTCTCTTTTTTTTTCTTTCGTAGGGCAGGGCTCGAGTTTAGTAATTATCGAGTATAGGGACAATCGGTGTCAGAAAGACATGGTTAAAAAGACGGTAAAGTGTTCAGGATGTGAAATGGGTTCGAAAGTGGACCCAAGTTTTTCAGTTTTTCAAAGCACTTGGGTTTAGGGACAGGGAGGGAATGGAATGGAATGAAAAAACTTTATTTCAGTCCTGCAGGAAGCGCTTAGCGCGTAGCGCGCGTCTCCCACGTAGGGACCGACAGGGAGTACCTGGTTGCCACTTCGTGGACCTGCTGGAGGGCCCATTGCTGGTCGGCGAGAAGTGAGCTCCTGAGGGATAGACTTTAAGCGGGTAGAATTAACTAGAAGGAGGTTATCTGATCGGTGGCTAAAGTCAAGGCATGAGTGAAAATTAAATGCTTTACTGCAAAGTGCGGGCCCTCAACCTGACTTTAAAAAAAAAAAAATGAATCTAGTTTTTGGTTCTTTAAGTATTGCGGCTTGGTGGCGCTAGCCGCCGCCCGATCTAAAGGGTACAGCCATATCCATCCATCCATCCATCCATCCATCCATCCATCCATCCATCCATCCATCCATCCATCCATCCATCCATCCATCCATTAGAAATAATATCACTAGATGACATTAGTGGTTTTCTTATAATTAATGATTAAAGATGATAGAAGGCGCTGTTTTAATAAGAAATTCACAGCGTATCCACAGAGTGAACGGTGATGAGTGGGGTGAAGCGTCCGTCTGTTTGATGCGTACTCTAGTGTGATAGGAGCCGACGGACGGACGCTTCGCCCCACTCATCATTCACTCTGTGGATATGCTGTAAATTTTTTGCAAAGCAGACAGCACCGCCATGCTGGGTTGAAGCACGGGATTACAAAGGCTGCCGTCAAAGCTTCGGCTGTGCGTTTGAAGGGGGGGGGGGGGGGGTCACGCTTTCTGTGTACAGCCCAAAGATGCAATGGACTATGCCCTTAGACTCTGCTTATTGATTACATACGTAGTGTTTCTGGTTATTTTTATATTTCATTCTTCTTTTATCTGCTGTTTTTCTTTTTGAGTGTTTCTTCAATACCACCATATTGTTGATGGAATAGCCGGTTTTAACGTCGCCGACTTTGTCATGTTATTTTTATATACATAAATAAAACAAAAACTATGGGAGTGTCCAGGTAGCCGTCTGTAAGAAGGTCTATAATGTTGATAAGGATGGCCGAATGATTTCCAGTGTTGGCTATACTATTAGATAACGATTGGCAAATGCATTTGTATATGATAGCCCGAAATGCTCATTGTTTGCTTTAGTATAAAAAAAGTGGTCTAACGTTGACTATCCGCTGTTTTTTTATGTTCTATGCTATAGTGGCAGCATTGTTATCACTCCCACTCAGCCAAAGAACAGTAGTGGTCTACCATTTTTTCTTTCGGATCGGAACGCTGACATCTCGCCTGCCAAAACGAGGCTTCGTGGAGTCGATTCGCAACAACAACAACAACAACAACAACAACAACAACAACAACAACAACAACAACAACAACAACAACAACACAACAACAACAACAACAACAACAACAACAACAACAACAACAACACAACAACAACTACTACTACTACTACTACTACTACTACTACTACTACTACTACTACTACTACTACTACTACTACTACTACTACTACTGTTACTACTACTGCTACTACTACTACTACTACTACTACTACTACTACTACTACTACTACTGCCAAACAACAACAAAAACAACCATGGTGTGTTGCTTCATTTTTTTTATTAAAAGAGGTCACCTCCTGCTTTAGTCACAGGAGTAAATCTCAGGTTACTCGAGAATCAGGAATGAGTCGGTGCAGACGCTGACACCCTTGTCTCCCTTCACCTTCATATTCAGGGAAGTTTTGCCCTGCGTAAGTGAAAAAAAAACAAATGAGAGAGCGAAAAAAAAAAAGTCATGCTCGAAGTCCCAACTCGCCAATAGGTCAATTTTACAAGCATTTTTCAAAATTTTTGTTGAATTTTTTTCTAGTCACCGCGCACCCTCTGGTGTCTTGTCAGTAGTCAGGACTTTATCGGTTATATATTTACTCCTTGCTTTTTTTTTATCTCATTCTAAACAGATCATTTGAGGTACCAACCAGCCACTTCAGAACTTTATTCAAAAGTCAGGCATATGCTTTTACCTAGAACTGATATATTCTGATGACGTATACAAACGCAACTTGCGGGTGTCAATACTATAACAATACAGCAAGCTGCTAAAGTTCCCCCCTTCATAAAGTCTTATTTAAAGGAGCCTAATGGTGACTCAAACTGTCTTTTTTGTCTTCTTGATTTTCTTTCCTTGTATTATTTTTGTAGGTTTCTTTTTTTTTGCACTTAGAGTCACTTTCCACGCCCCTGAAGACCTTGTAATTATGAGGGAGAAGCAAATGTTGAACTCGACTGAAGGCAAGTTAGTCAGCCCTAAATATGATTGTCTCGTCAAGCTGCGCCCGGTAAGTTCAACTTGTCCCGGTTTGTGCCCGCCCACCACAAGGAAGAGGACCCGAAGTGAGAGTCAGCTAAAACTACCAGGAATCAAACATTCGAAGCTAATATGGTTAGATATGGGATACGGATACTTTACGGACTTTCTATATTCGCTGAAAAACAAACAAACAACGCAGATCACATGTACCTGACAAACGACGTTATGCGAAGCATGTGGAGGGAAGGTGACCGTGTTGCAATTTTTTTTTTATTGAGCGACACTTCATAAAATGGCGCTAAATATAAGTATGCACAAATGTTGCATGCACAGACATATGTTGAAGAGTTGCAAATGTTCATATAACCAGTTGTTTGCACTTGCACAACGATGCCAACTGGAACGTGCGTATTAACAACACCAGAAGCTGATATGAGCCGCTGATGCTCGTGAGGATGCTGGCCCTGGACACTGCGACATAAATCAACTTAAGCGCATGACACCTAACTACCGTTCACGTGAACCGGAGGTGATGGTTGTATCAAAGGGGTGCTTATGTTATGTTTACAAAATTGCGTAGACAGCAGTGCAACCACTATTGACGATTCACGAATATGAGCGTCTACTTGAAAAGTAGTTCCGAGACCTGGCGTAGCTCTGTGGTAAAATGCTTCATTGCGACGCAAAATGCTTGGGTTTTATTCCAGCTGGGACCCTGACATTTATTTTTTGCATTCGTTGGATCCACGCTACCGATGTCGAGTATTTATTAAGCCTCGCGCGTTAAAATCTGTGGCACATACCCGCATACCAGCGGCGCATACCCACCCGTGGGTATGTCGCACTGTCTGGCAGGAAGCTTTTGATGACGTACGTGACGAGATTGCGACATTATTCTTGTCTTGACCAGCGCGTCATATCTGTCAAACCATCTTACCTTTCATGCTGATTTTGGTTCACGCCAAGTTAAGGGGGTGACAACGAGAGCACCCAAACATAAGCGGCTGGATAGATAGATAGATACGCTCAAAGTACTGAGCTACCACGGCGGCTATCCTCCCAGCCACTTTATTGGGTATATGGGATCTAACATTAGCGTTGTTCGAAGGTCGCAGGTTCAGTTCCTGCCCACGGCAAGTTATCTTTTCCCCCACTTTTCTTTCTTCATATTTACAATACATTTGGTCTAATTACTTACCCTATACTTTCCTTGGCACTGTTGTGTATTAGATCTGATTAAAATGGTGTCAGAACACGGAAAAACGAGCCCTTAAGTATACATTTCTTTCCCTTACTCATTAACGAGGGTCTCGTACTGCCAAATTTGGTGCCTTAGGTTGTATACGAGGAACTGTTGGTCAGCTGCCAGCTGGTAATAAGTTCACGTGCTACGTGACGCCACACAGGCTCATAAAGAGTTGGCCACACTTGCCGCCATGGCTACTGAGGGCGCTGGCTGACACTCCCACGTTTAAATTGACATATATAGCCAATAAAGTGGCTGGGAGGATAGTCGCCGTGGTAGCTCAGTGGTAGAGCATCGAACGTGTTATTCGAAGGTCACAGGTTCGGTTCCTGCCCACAGCAAGTTTTATTTTCTCCCACTTTTCTTTTTTCCCATTTACATTACATTTATTCGGTCTAATTACTTCCCTATACTTTCCTTGGCATTGTTGTCTGTTAATAGATCTCACACACACACACACACACACACACACACACACACACACACACACACACACACACACACACACACACACACACACACACACAAATATATATATATATATATATATATATATATATATATATATATATATATATATATATATATTGAGCGCACACATCTGTGTGCAAGTTCGAGCTGGCACACACTGATGATGATATCTACAGATGAGGAAATTATACAAATGATGATGACACGCCCGATCGATAAAGAAGAGTCGGTGACTGCGCTCACACTAATATATATATATATATATATATATATATATATATATATATATATATATATATATATATATATATATATATATATATATATATGGGCAGAGAGAGAGAGAGAGAGGAAGAGGCATGGAAGGAGCTACGCACCGCGGGAGCAAATGATGCAATGGGCATGGTTAGGACTCCCTTGTAGGTCCTTCCTTTCTTGATGGGACACGTGACAACGCCCTTGCACATGTTGGTTTCAATGCCAGGCACTGGGACAGAGACGCCGAACAACTTTGTCGTCACCTTTAGCTCCGCCGTTTCGCTGTCTTGGTCTGGAAAAAAAAAAAAAAAAAGGAGCGTGCAGCGTATACGGCGCAGAACGAGAGAAGTGAAGCCGCATCCCGCAAGACACGAGCGAAACTTTGTACATGGCGAAGGAAAGATCGAAGAAAATGAACAAAAAAACTGGGTGACTCTCGTGTTTCGATTGTCTCTAGGAGTAGAACGCGATGGTGTAATTGGGCTCCGCTCGCTTCGAATCCTCAACCGGGGGGGGGGGGGGGGGGGACTGATTTCAGATGAAAAGAAGAGAAAAGTGAGCCCCATAACTGTCTCTCAGGGGGAGGACACCTCAACAGTAGCTCACGAGGGGTGGGGGTAGAAAAGAGATTAAAAGGGTAAGATTAAAAGGTAAAGATATAGAGAGAGAGGAAGGAGAGAGCGAGGTGCAGGGACACATAACGACGGAAGGAGAAGACAGGAAAGATGGACATTGTTGCAGGAGTCCGAGGACGGGGCACAAGTGAAGGCGTAGAAGCATGTCTAGACGTGTCAGTAGATTCGCTACTCGGCACCCTGGAAGAGACGAGGGACACTTTGAACATGGCGAAGGAAGGAAAGAAAAAAATGCGAAAGGGCGGTGTTTATTTATTGCGACGAACTTTGAGCACGATGGCTTTTAGATGCCACTTTGGCCGGCGCTGGTCGAAGGGACGTCGATCATTGCGACCTCGGACGTCGACGCGCCGTACAAACCAACCGACGAGCGGCAACTGAGCGAGCGAGCACCGACCTTGAGTATATATACAGCGCGACGGCGCATGCACTGTCAGCTGTCGAATGTTCGAGAAGGAGGAGAAGCGCAACGGCGCATGCGCGCGCGTCAGCGGCCAATGTTCTCGAAGCGCGACGGCGCATGCGCGCGCGTCAGCTGCCGATGTTCTCGAAGCGTGACCGCGCATGCGCGCTACATTATACAGCTAGCGAATGTTCGTGAAGAGGAGAAGCGCACGCGGTGTGTAGAGGAGGAAGGGTGCACAGATGGTGGAGGAGTGAAGCGCGCGCGGTGTGTAGAGGAGGAAGGAATGCACAGATGGTGGAAGAAGGAGGAGGAAGCTTGCGGACGGCGCCGCACTACAAGCCTCTAGTATTAGATGCTCCGCATCTAAAAAAAAAAAGACTGGGTGACTCGAGTTTCGATTGTCTTCAAGAGTAGAACGCAATAGCGTAATCAGGCTCCACTCGCTTCGAATCCTCAACCGCTGTAGCCTGCCCTTCGCATCTCGCTGTACATTCCAGCCATACCGCAAACAAAGGAACGTCCGGGTGCTTAACCGTGGAAACTTTCAACCTTTCTTAAAACGATTTGCAAAGTGCCCACTACGTGTCCATACCATGGCACTCGCCTCTGAGTATCTTCCCGCCTCGTCCATGCTGTTGCGGATGATGATGATAATCAATTATGCCCCTACAATGATCCCTATAGACGGTTTCAAGATAGTAAGCGTTGTGCCCCAAGAAAACTTCCGGTCACCTCATTTACCAGATCGTAACGTGGAAACTCAAAGGAAGTTTTCACGTTTTTCCACGGGTAAGGAAAGTCTCTTATTACTTTTTCAGATTAAAAGAACGTGCGTAATATTCAAGGCAACATTGTGTAGTTTTTGTGTAGCTCAAAAGAACATTTATTTGATTATGTTTTGCCAAATGAAGAAAGAGAAGTGTAGAAAATAAGTCGGCTATTTTCTAACGCTCTTCTTGTCTACCGATGCTATTCAGGCACATTGGTGGACGAAACTGGATGTAATCCAGGGTCCTAAGTGTTTTTTACCGAACCCACTTTAGGGCTAACGCAGTCCTGTGGTTGGACACTTGCTTGACACGCAGAAGTCGTGGGTTCGATTCCAACTCGAGCAGAATGTTAACGTGATAGCGTTAAAGAGCTCTTTTCGCAGATATCCCGGCGTCGGCGTTGGTGTCGTTGGCTGTGAGCAGAAAGTCATCCCTTTGTCAGTGACAAAAATCCAGAAAGATGCAAATGAAGTAATTAATGAAAATTTCCGGGTCCGAGTGAGGATCTAACCAGGGGCGTTCGCGTGGAAAGCAGATGTTCTAACACACATCCACACGTCGGCTTGGAAGCACAGTGAAAATAACTTCCTCGGCTTGAAAATGCAGCAAAAGTAGCTTTCATGCTTTAGATACACACGCGTCGTGTATGCAGGCTTCACACTTCAACATGTAATGTCGCAGTAATATTGCGTGGTACAAGCGTACATTGTCATCGGGCGTCAAGAAAAAGTGATTTTCATAACTATCTTGTGATTTAAAGCCAGTCACACATTACAAAAAGGCCCACATGTTACTGTGCGTATTCCCTACAGAGTGCATTGCATGTTCTAAAACATGTCACGCACATAATTACTGATTGTTTAAAGCATGCTACCCATGACACAGAATTCAGCCATATGCGAAAGCTTCACTGACCCAAGCCACTTTGAATTTCATCAACTGCATTGTAATAATCAGCAATTTAAACTTCTCAAGTATGCACTATATGGACAAAATATTGCTATCGTGTTTAACAAGCCGAAGTTCAAGGGTCCCCCAATTTTCTTTTCTGGATTTTTTCAATCGCGAACAACGCTCATTTTTTGCTCACAACCAATGACGCCGAAACCGGCAACGCCAGAATTTTTTCGAAACGTGATCTTTAAAGCTGACGCGTTAAAATGGAAAAGGTAGAGTGATTAACCAGGACCATCTCCAGTTGGCTAATTTACGCTGGATGAGTGTGAAAGAGGAATACAAAAAATCACAAAAAGGAAAGGAAAGAAAGAAATCTGCAATAAATGCACGCGGATGCGTCGAATTTTTTATACATTAGTCATAGTCATTCATACGGACGAGGAGTAATTAAAATATACTCGCGCATGAACATCATTGAGATGATTATGAATTAAGACAACAGCCTACCTTAACAAGCTGTATCCAGCTACGCTTATCGTAATTTACGCAACAGTATCCATGGTTTAGTCACATGACAGAACTCGGCCATATTTGACGAGAGTAATGCTGTTCTAATCATTATTAGAAATACCATTAGACATATTAGCCACGATTACTCCCATACCATCCAGCGTCTTCCTGCATTATGTTGTGCTAACTGCTGCTGGTAACATGTGAGGAAATACGGTGCTTCCTCCAGGGCACCATTGTTCACCGCTTACTATTGGCAAGCCCTGGTCACGGGTGGAGAGGTAGTATGGAGCGTATGCGCAATAATGCTTTCGTGCATCTAAGACGTAGACATATTAACTCATTCGCTCAATTGAGTATGTATGCCGGTGCTGAAGTACACATGTGTACATGTGTCTGCGAATGCACATGTGTCTGCGAATGCACGTGACTTCATTGGATGTATGGACTTCACAACATTACATAACTGACACATCGTATAACAGATGGCATAACGCAGTGTACATCATTGTATACCTCATACTGTATGGCACTCGAATGATCTTATGCCGCAACTTCATGGGCCTGAACCACCGAAAAGAAGCGGGCTTTCATCGGTTGTCTAGAAACATGTTTAGCGAAATTATCTTCGGTATCCACCGTATAACCGTAAACCGTATAAAGCATTATTTCTATTCTTCTATATTTATTCAGTTTATAGTTCGAGGAAATTATGTCTGTTCGGAGGAGTGCTGTATAACAGCTTTAGCATGTGGCGCCTCAGGCAAAATTTTCACCTTCTGAGCAAAAGAAGTTGAGCGCAGACGTTTAAATGTGGATGTATTGGACACTGTGTAGCGGAGAAAAGGCCTCTGCAAGCATGTTCAAGGAGAGTTACGTGTGGTGCACCCTATGGAGCTACAGTAGTATGTAACAGTTTATGTGTTCTATGTGTGAGACTGTTTGCTATAGAAGCTGCTCAATGCGGTAAACATTCCTAGAGGCATTCGGCATTCTTCTCGGTTATGGCTGGTGACACAGAAATAAGACTTTCGTCCTAAGAAGCGTGTTTATAAAGGATAACAAAGAGCATTCATAAAATATAACAAAGGTTGAATGGAGGTGAAATACAAGATTCGTTGCAGGGATATAGTTTGCTCGTAATGGTAAACTGTGGAGCGCAAAATGGGTACGGTACAGGGAATTACACACACACAGCACCAGACAGGTGAGTTGGACAAGGACATGGGCTAAGAAGAGTTGCGAGTTGGCACTTGTTCTGTACTGTGCGTATAATTTTCTGTCCAAGACCTATAGTTTTCACACTGCAAAACCAATATGACATACAAGCTGATTACTTTCTCTTTGCGACCCGCACTCGCACCATCCAAAGAAATCCAAGTGCTGCATTTTACGAATTCACGAACTTAGAGCCGTGTTTGTTAAGGGCCAATGCTTCCACGTGATTTAAAGAGCCACCGTGGGCTTTTTTTTGCTTGTTTTCACTCACCAGATACCATTTCGAAGTAAATCTTGGCTGCCGTACCCCTCTTCATGACGCATGGGTCCGAGTTGCATGGTTCAACCTGGAGGGAGATGATTTCAGCGGTGCTACCTGCAGAAATCGGCGATCAGTCAAGTTAGCAGGATTCAAAGTAGCAAGGTGGAACACAAGGATGCAACTTGTAGCTGATATCTACGCTATTTTCTTCTTCTGCTTTCTTGCGTTTAGTACATTTCATGGGGGCCATGTCGTTTTTGATGGTACTTTTCAATGAAGGGATACTGGCTCCAATTTTTAAGGCGGAAGTTCGCTCGGCCATACAAGCCTCCAGTGTGCAGAGTGGGCACTGAGCAACTGTGAAGTTTATTAAATGTGGATAAGATATTTTGTTTAGACATTAAAATCAATTTGATTTTTACAGATAAGTTCTGTAGGATAGCGCAAATTTCTTGATTACTACACTACAGGTAAAAGACACAAGTAATTTATCAGTTGTATTGCTAGCTTTATTGTCTGTTGTCATTATTTCGTTGTGTTCAAAAAAAAAAAGAAACTATCCCGTAATTGTATTAGCCTAAATTCAGTGACAACACCCCTGCTACTTCAAGCTTCACTGCTGCAATGATGTGTTACAGCGGTGAAGATGGTATGCACGTTTTTGGCTAAGCATGGGCAAGAGCGGCACCCAGTGGCTTCTCGATGCATCACTGCAAATGGTGCCTGACGCAAGACTCGCATTGAGTGTTGACATTGACGAAATGAATGAAGAAATGCGACGAGCCCATGGCAACTGCTCGTTTTCAGCTTTCACAATTAATTCGAGCATAAGAACGCAAAATGAAAGACTACAGGGACAGAACGCACAAAAACAAATGCCTATAGACTGCGAATCGTAACACCGTGTCTTTCAATTACCTCGATCGTACCAAGATTGAATACGAGCCATTGTGAGGGCGCAACTAAAAACAACACACAGTAAGAGACAGTCGAGGACAGGCGAAATCCTCCTGTGTGTTGATTGTTGTGTTCAGTTGGGCCCTCACGATGGTTTCTATGTCAAAGCACCAATTTACCCAAGAGTCAACTCTTGGCAATCCATGTTCTTTTCGAGGACATAACCAAATAAAATATCATTATTTGCCCCTACTAAAATCATCGTATCTTTATCGAAGTTACGTAGTTAGCTTACAATAATTTAAAAAAAATTTCGCCGTTTTTTTAGTATAGCTTCAAATAGAATATATTGGGTGGTTGTGGTCAGTATATTGCCATCTATTTCTCTGACTATAACTGTCACTTATACAGCTGTTAACTTCACACAGCACATTATTGAAAGCCGCTTGCTCTATACATTTAGCTAGATAAAATATTGTAAGTGGACGCGTAGCAACAATACTAGCAGAATGACACGACTATTGTACGTTCGTTATACTTGGAGAATATACAGCCAGCTTAATTCAGAGTCACTTGATAGTATGATGAAGAAAACATGAACTATAGTATATAAAAACAAAACTCACTGAACACACGCTCTTATGAGGCAAGAATGCAATAGACTAAACATGTCACAATGTCTAAGGCTAGCGATTAAAAAAAAAAAGAGAAACAATTCGGAATTGTTTACAAGCAGTGGTAGTAACTCCAATGTCGTCGTTACAGATTTCAAAGGACGAGGATTGAAAGAGGAAGGACAGGGAGGTTAGCCAGCTCTCAGACCGGCTGGCTACCCTGTACTGGGGAAGGGGGTAAGGGGGATTTACAGAAGGACTCGCTTAGCTATGTTGGAAAGCACTCTGGACGCCTAATCTTCCCGTAGTTTGTACGCCAACAGTGAACGTCGGCACGATTAGGATTGAGTACGTTGTAAGTTCTTTTCATTACTTCAACTTGTTCCTGAGACCCGTCATGGTAGCCTAGTGGTTATGGGGCACGACATTTTACCCACGGTCACGGGATCGAATTCCTGCAGCGGACGCCGCGTTTCGACGGACACGAAACGACATAGGCCCGTCTATACTTGGATTTAGGGGCACGTTAAGGAACCCCAGCTGGGGAAAACTTCCGGAGCTTTGCACTGCGGCGTCCCTCGTAATCATATCATGGTTTTGAAACGTAGAACATAAATAATGATTATTATTATTTGTGCCATTTGGAATGCCCTAAGTTATTATCTGTCTCTTCCAGTATGTCGTGTTCAGAAGAGTAATGGGGGTCTTAAGCTCGAACATTTATTAATCCGATTACACGCAGCTGAAACACCGTTTGAGGTTACGTGAAGTAGCGCAGGAGAACAGTGCTTACCGCAGTCCTCGTAGACAGCATCCCTTATCTGGCCGAAGGCGACCCCGATGGCGACGAACAGAAGAGCGCTGCGCATCAACATGTCTGTCAACGATGTGCTCGTACACACGAGTGCTAGTGGAGAAGAAATTGGTATACGTGTTGCGCCACCGTTAAACGACGGGCCCACTATATAGTCCGCCGAAACGCAACAGGTGAGACACGTCACACGAGGTACGGGGCGGATTTCTGCTCGTTATGAGCTTTGTCCTGATTCCAAAGGTCGGCGCTCCACACCAGCTGATAGCAAACAGGTTATCTTCTATTGATATCTGCGGAGCTGACACTTCGGGATTCTGGTTGTGCGGGAGGCGCATATCGTGAACCATGCATTGTTTGTCTGCAGAGGGTTATCGATAAGAACGGAACCTCGTCAGTGCGTGTGATCGAATCGGCGTTAGTAGGACAGGAGTTTAAAGGGTACAGTTGAAGAGGATGAATGTTCTATTAAAACAGAGATGAGGTAGTAATGGCCTATTGATATTTATTTGTTTATTTATTTATTTATTTACTAATCTTTTGGAGCCTTGCACACGTTATATAATGTATATTTGGAAGGCTCAACGCGCAAGCACTCCGTACAAATGATTAACCATTGAAAGCTGAAACGTGCGGCCCCGATGTTCAGCGTTTAGCTCAACCCGGTGCTGCACTGAAGCCTTTTACAATTATTGGTTACATGTATACGTGTTTTTAATGAGGTTAGACGCACGTTTGGCTTGGCCTTACTACAGTGTTTATTTCACGTGCCGCACACAGCGCTTTACATAGTCGCGGTCAAGGAGGAGTGTAATGAGCGGTTAAATTCATTTCACAATCCTTCAATCACAGTGGTCTTTCTCGAACCACATGCGGTCACAGACGCCACAGCCGAAGCCAAAATGTCGCTGGAGAAACTGCCGCCGAAAGCAGTCGATTGGCGACTGCTTTCGTAGTTAGCGCTCCTGAAATCGTCACGATGACGCTGTTGTGCCCGCAACGAAGCCTGTTCGGCGCGGCGTTGTTGCAAGCGTTTAACATCGCAAGCTATCTAGGCGGCGTGATCCGCTTGATCCGTCCACCACCGGTGCTTTCATTAGCGTTTGCGATTTAGTATGGCTTGGAAGCCGGCTGGATCATCGGTATGCAATTCTTGCCGGCACTCAGCCTCCCAAGCCTGTTTTTGTGCCAGGAATGCAGCATCGGCCCGGCAAATGCGAGCTCTCTCACGTTTCCAGTGTCGGTGCACTTCTAGAGTCTTCCGTGGCTTACGAATGTGAAAGGTCTAAGTAGAAAATGATGCGCGCGTGCTTGGTGTCCCGGCTGCCACTGGAAGGATAACGTCACTCACAACCCAGCCAATGACGTGCGTGCTTGGGTACGACGCTGAGAATGACGTAACGATAGCACAGCCAGTGGAGAGTGCTCGTGATACTACTGCCGAACAGTTTTTCGTTTCTCCTAGCCACTATACGTCTTACGTTGATAAAAAAGAATTTCCTATTTACGGCGCATAACATAAAGACCCGGCATCAAAAATCCTGTCGTACATGGCATGCATGTGAGTTTTATGTTACGACCTGCCGCTTACGTTCAGCATACACTAATACTGATTGATTGATATTTGGGGTTTAGCGTCCCAAAACTACCATATGATTATGAGAGACGCCGTAGTGGAGGGCTCCGGAAGTTTCGACCACCTGCAGGGTTCTTTAACGTGCACCCAAATCTGAGCACACGGCCTACAACATTTCCACCTCCATCGGAAATGCAGCCACAGCAGCCGGGATTTGATCCCGCGACCTGCGGGTCAGCAGCCGAGTACCTAAGCCACTATAGACCACCATGGTGGGGCGGCATGCACTCATATTACACCGTTCCAATTATGATACATATGAGCCGTGTGATGCAAACGAGTGACACAAGCATATAAACCGCGTGATAGAAACGGTCGCTAGTCCGAGACACGTAAATCATGTCGTTCATGACATGCATTTCACAATTTACATGTTAAGACCTGTCATTTATGTTAATTATAAATCAATTTCACACTTTACCGACTTTCACATTATGTCCAGTTAACGAAATGGCTGAGAGCGCAAAGTTGTTGGTACCTAGACATGTGCTCAAAGTAGCAAAAGTTCACTAAGAAATGCTGCGCCTTTCATTTACGTCTACTCCACGAGGCAGGCAACTCCGCGGACATTTGGTGCACTGAGAGGCCACTGGCTTCGATAATAAGGGCTGTGGTAGCTTTGGTCAGAATAATAAGCAATATCTATTTGAAGGGACCCTGCCACACTTCTTGAGCATCGTCTGAAAACGCTGCCGATTGGTATAGTCGAAGCTGCTGAGAAAAAGCGAGCCAAATAATTAGTGCAGCGTGTTACCTGGAATTCCGATTAGTTTTTCAAGGCCAGCTCAAAACTGCTTTATCTCTTCTCGACAAATGACGCTACAAGCTCAAAAATCAGTCGTCACAGCCATTGTATCAGCCAATTGCTGATTCGAGATTGGTGTGGTCTGGGGCTATTGCTTAAACACTTCGCGCTTTCAATTCACATGCCTCTCTCCGTATATAGTACCTACAGAATAACTGGCATATGCGCCGGTAGAACGAAGAGGTTACGCCAAAAGTAAATGAATTGACGCACGCGTCAGACTTTTGTCTGCTGATAGGACCATTCGCGATACGTGCAGTATAGGTAGGAACGGACCATACGCTGATACTTTGACGTAAAAGCGAGCGGATTGCAGGCATTTATTCGCAGCAAATTCAACGCAGTCTACGCGCGTTCCGCAGTGTGAACTATGGTGGGATGCTGTGCATCTGACACGGCACATGTGTGCGTCATTTTCGCACTGACCAGGAAAAGGTTATTTGACGCACTAGAGGGAAAGAGAATGTGAGAGAATCAGAAAAAGGGGCCCTGAGCTCCATAATGAATGCATAGAGAGGTTTGTGGGGTGACACGCCTGGACGTTTATAGATGGACGGACGAGAAATGAAATGGAACGTGATCTGTATCCTACACAGACAGAAGGCAGACACGCAAACGGTAACCCACATTGCGACGGATAAACTCATTAAAGTATGAGACCACTAATACAGTAAAAGTTTCTTATCCCTCAGAATGATTAAAAGTGAAAACGATTCGATATATTTAGAAGTGACGTGGACCGCAACATTATACAGTATACTTGCGGAATAGAACGCGGTAATCAGCCGTTTTCATTCTCCTGTTATGTGCTCTGTCGTTTCGATGGAGTAGCGGAACTTCGCGAGGTAATCCGGTATACGGACTTGCTCACGCCCCAGAAAATAAGCAACCGCTTATAATGCAATTACTTTCATTAAAATGTAATTGATTACAGCAAATAACTATACAGTTCAAGAAATGTAAGCGAGCAATTGCAGTAATGCAATTGACTACTTTTCTTTACTTTCCTTAAAAACGTTTTTGTCGAAACACAATGACACTTGTTTACTGAAACTACAACGAACTACAGCAGCTTGCATGGTAGAGAGAATGCTAGAAGCTTGCGTGAAGGCTGGGAGTCTTACTGAGGCTTCTGTGAAACTGGAAATTCTCGTCCTTCGGTCGGCGTTCCGTACACGTCATTAACTTTAAGATAAGCTTCTTAAAAATATGACCTGTATGTTGATCGTCAGTTTGCAGTGGTTGTTTCGCCTCATCTATAGGTAACGGGCCGCGTCGGCCCTCCCATACTAGAGTTCAGCGGACTCTAAGTTGTCCCATAATTTTAGGGGCGAAGCTATTTATAGTGACACCCGTTCATCCTCATAGCCGTTGTAGTGTGTAACATGTATAACATTTAGACCTCCAAGGTGGTGCGATGAGCGATTTCTTCTGTGCATTGTTGAACAATAGAAGATAGTGCTCAATGTACATGCTATGGCTGCTAAGGAGAAATGAGAGACAGGAGCATTCGGCTTTTAGTTAACCCACACGCTGTGATTCCAATTAGCACCCATTGGTATGTACATTGAGCACTATCTGACAAGAAAGGGTTGCTACGTTATACTCGCTGGGTGTAACCACCTTAGTTTTAGAAAGGTTTAGCGAGCGTTGAGCCGCAGTGCCATGAATACAATGAACTAGTATATACATGAACTCGAGGTGGTTAAAGGTGGGAAGTAGACCCGAAGTGCAAGCCGTAAGAAAGTGTGTGTGTGCCACACTCGTTTAGTCCTTGGAATGTCCTCTAGATGGCGGTGCTTCTATATGGGGAATATATGATGAAAAGATGCGAGATGGTGGTACTTGGAGTGTTGAATAGATGGACGAACGGACACACAGATAGATGCATGGATGGACGCATGAACGGACACAGGCGCGGATGCATGGACGAACGCAGGGACGGAAGCACGAACAGACACACGCACGGACGGGCGGATGGACGCATGGACGGTCCACAGACGGACGCATGGACGGTCCAAAGACGGACGCATGGACGGTCCAAAGACGGACGCATGGACGGACGGAAGCAAGAACAAATGGACGGACGAATGCTTCGCCCCACTCTCCATCATTCACTGCGTGGATATGCTGCCTATTTTTTTTTCACGTTGCGCCAGAGTAAGCAAAGAATTTTTACCGATTTCCGCTAAAAGAAAGGCGCTTAAGGTTAAGAACTAGCTCATTTAATGTTGTGTTTAGCGTAAAAGAATGTGTTTTTTTAAGTATTTGGCTAGACACAGGGAGAAAAGCGGTGAAAATGTGAGAGTTACTCGCTAACGCTCTCGTTTGCCGCCAATGCTACTTGGCTACTCTTCTCTAGTGATGTGTCCTTCTTGTCTCTTTGTCGTCGTTTTGTTCTCGCACTATAATTATCGACATATTATACCAACTAGTCTAAGCTGCCACACTTCTAAGTTGACTACTTCCGGCGCACAAAACCGGAAGCCATCCAGAATGAAGTTATGAATGCTGTGTAGGCGGCCGTTACATCCACAACAGCAGCCGATTTCGGGGGTGATGTCCGCCACCGGTGTCTGTCTCAGCTGTGGCAAACAGTGAGACGTAAAACCAAACATTTATCCTTTATCGAACACTGGTATTCTCACTGTTCATCAAATGTTCTACCGCCGAACTAAGCCTTTGCTTCAAACTGCTTCGGCACCCGCATGCAATGGTATCCACTGTAATGTTATGGAATGGTTCTACGTTCGAAATTTACGTGCTTGGTTGATGGCCTACTT